TTGTTCCAATAATGGAGAAGGGAATGACACGGATTACTTATTATTTCAATTCATGGTTCAATTGAATGCAGAAGAATAGACCATTGCCACGGGACATGTGAAACGAGAGGCAGACAACTCGATTACACACGGACAACTCACCAGAGACTCCTCGACTACAGATAGGCTTGGTGAGTTGTCCGTGTAGTAGAGTTGTCTATCCTAAACGGCTGTGACAATCACTGTACCGAAATTTGTACCCCGATTCAGGTGGTGTTAAGTTGACTTATGCTATTTAGTAACGTTTCTATGTGAAATGTTTGACTGTGGTTCGACACCTGATCCGGTAATACGGTACATAATTGACTCATATCACGAGATATTCCAATCGATGTTTCAATATAATCAAGAAGAATGGATCATTGTCACATGACCTAAAATATCTACGACAGTCCCTGTACCGTCACGGTACCCCGATACAGGTACTAGTAAGTCACCGTATATGATTTTTGGGGAATTGTTCTGCGTGGGCATATATTTGAGCATTGCTCTCTTGTTTTGTATGCTATGACATCATCAAAATTTGCGCTCCTTGTGACGGCTCCGCGAGCGCATATCAACTGATACGTGCCGTGCGAACGTCGGTTGATCTCGCGCTTAGCGAAGGTTGAAAGTTTTTATGGAATACGGTAGACTGCGGTACCCGATCTGGTAGTACAGAAGTTACTCGAATCACTTGATATTTTAATTGACGTTGAAACTGAATTATGAAGAATGAATCATCTTCACAAGACCTGGAAAAGATATGACAGTTCCTGTACCATTACTGGTACTGCGATACAGGTACTGGTAAGTTACCGCGTATGATTTCGGGAGGTTCGGGGAATGGTAGACTGCGGTACCTGATCTGGTAATACAGAAGTGACTCCGACCCCTTAGTCTGTCAAGATGTTACAGTGTCATTAATTATTGTATTTGGAATATTAATTATGTTATGAATGGTTGCGGAATGTTATTATAACCTAATTTGAAATTTTTTTTGGAAAACTTAACAGTTAATATTTATTGTTCATTTTTTTAGAGATCTCGTAACTATAAATGTAAATGGAAAGTACTGAATACTCTTATTTTGTTTTCTCCGAGTGCAGATCTCGAACAGGAGAAAAATTTTCACAACGAAAGTCAATTGAAATATGCACTTGACACACAGAGCCAAGTTTAACCATCGCTAGCACGTCTATATATCAAAACGTCAAAACGAGTCTATTTCTCAAATATGTCTTACAATTTTGTAAAAAAAAACATATATGTTTTCCCATCTGTTGGAATCTCGGAACATTTCAACCCCCAGAAAGCACGTAGGGGCAAGCGTTAGGTTGGTCTAACTAAAGTAGGCAATGTCATTGGAAGTTGGTCAATATGACAGCACAGCAGATTCCGGGTGGAAATTCCTAAGACACCTCAGAAATAACTGTTCCCCACTTCTTGTCACTGGGCAGAAAGCTTCAACATAGATACAATCTCTCATTCGTGGCTATGTATACCTCGCTCATAATATCGAGCAGTATCAACAGCACAGACAAGTTTATTGTTCTAGTTACCTACCAACTACTGGTTGCTTCTTGTCCGCATTTGTTCTTAAACCGGACATGAGAAGCACAATTGGGGGGAGAGGACTTAGATGACCGTCTGGTCGTATAACTCCCTCCTGTCTATACCAAACTAATTTATTACTTATTATTATTTTTTATTATCACGATGATTGTTGTTTTATTTCGGTTAACGAAAAAAAAAACTCTCTCTTCCTGTCTCCGAATTTAAAATTATATACGTACGTCTCGCATGTGCATTGCAATCTACTAATCTTACTGATAAAACTGAAGGATAATACGTTTTTTTAACTTTGTTTTTTGTGTTGTTCTGTTATTAATTTTTTCCGCTGAAAAATTAAAAGCATCAACTGATTAACCTGAAATTTATATTCACGCAGCAATTGCATTCTTGGGGTTTATCGACTAATCTGATTTATAGGATTCCTGTACACGATATAATACTGACACTGACTGAAGACTAAGTTTGAAAGCTAAATTGCAGCGCAATATTAAATAACACAAAATATATCTTGACAAAATTAATTTTCCATAGTTTTCTCACAAGCAATTAAATAACCATTGGTGGAATGGCAATCGATATGTAATAACTCATTTTCCACGGCACTATAGATTTATATCTAAATCTATAGATTTATATCTAAATCTATATATAAACAAATACAGAATAAATATGGAGCTTTCGCCATATATCCATTACATCCACTGCAAATATTCAAATTTACTGTATTTTGCAGGTTATTATTACTGTTCATACGACATTATCAAGAAATAGTACACAATTACTAAAGATAATATGCCATGTCAATAAATAAAACGCAGTGAATGTGAACCAACTTTAAGGGTATTCTAACTACTCAATTCTACCATAATGCATATATATATATATATACACAGTAGAAGACAACCTCACTTTTTACTATTACAGTATACAAATAAATATATCATTTCAGGTTTTTATTTCTGTTTGAGTTGCTGAATATCCTCTTCGATACTTTGACCTTGTTCCAACTTCTTTTCACATTCGATCATAAATTCGACTTCATCCACAACCATTTGTACAAGTTCCACTTCAGAAAATCCGAGGCGATCAGCATTCGAAATATCAAAGGTACCTCCTTCAGCTGCAGTGTCAACGCCGCCTGTACCACGTTTTTGCAAACGTAGTTTTTTAAGAACTTCATCGAACTTTGGTTGTTGAGAAAACAGTGGAATCTTCAAGTGAACACCAGCACGAACTCCTGTGCCCAGATTACTAGGACAAGTAAGAACGTAACCGAGATGTTCATTCCACATGTATTCATGTCCAATATCTTCCATATGTTTTTCAATCTATAAAAGATAATATATTTGAACGACCGATTCATTTAAGTATGTAAGGATGAACGCTATCGTAAGCCAACTTACATCGCCTAGTCCTCGACACCATCGGGTAAAGACTTCTTTCATGTTTCCACCTTTCTGCATTGAAATTACTCTGAGATGGTCTTCCTCATTTACCCAAACAAGAAAAAGAGTTTTATAAATAATTGTTTTTTTAGGAAAAATTCATTTCAATTTTGAGTTTTTATAAAAGAGCAGTAATTACCATATTCCTCTCGCATCAGGCCAGTCGCGCGCCATTCCAGCGGAGAGTAACAATGGAGAAACAGGTTTATCAAAAAGAAAATGATCGTTTATCAATTGCTCTTGTTCTTCATCTGTCATCTTTGCAAGAGGATAATATTTTCCGTTTAGTTCACCATCGAGTTTTCCAAGAGCTGAAATTAGTGAAACACCGCTTTTAATTATGGTAAATTTGCAAATTCAATTCACAGTAGGACATGGCCTTTACCTTTACAAGATATTTTTTCCACTTTTCTTCGTTCTGCACGGCTACAATGTGGAGGAAGACACAATCCTCTGATGCTTCTTCCAGTTCGTACACGAGATGAAAGAACGTATTTTTCATCCAGGCAATCCCCTCCCTAAATATAGCATATTGAGAGCATACTGCATAATGAAGCAACAGTAGTTTGAATTTAATTTCGATTATTCTACTAACAGACACAACTAATCAGATTATTTTTGATTTAACGTTATAATTTTCAGTCGGATATTCTACCTTCAAATGTTCTGAATTGAGATCTGTCCTATGTTTATCTGTTTTCTTATATCCGTTATGCCTGGCCTGAATCACTGGATCAAATAATTCAGCGAACGTTTCATAAGACTCTTCATCTCCCGCTACACATCCGACAGTCATGATGTATGGATGGCCTAAAAAACAGTAAGTGTGTGAACAATAAAATGAAGATAATCGAGGTACTTTGGGAAAAATCAAACAATAAACAGTAATGAGTGTTTTACCTGGATTATCGACTCCGGTTTGAATTACATTATCGATACCGAATCCGTTCGAAGTTTGACGAGATCTCATTGTCTTGTAAATATCTGCAGTCAAGCATTTTGCCATGTGATTATTGTGCTTTGATAAATCAGGAAACTCTTCTTCTGCTGTGTACTTAGTAGTGCTTGTGTTCGGCATTTTACTTCAATGTTGTTGACGAGGTAAGGACGATTAAAAGCCACTGATGATTGTATGAATCCCTCCACTCTCTCGTTGTTTTTATATTAAACACGATTCGCACCTTCGTTGCGTGAAAAACGCATCGTTCAAATGTTTTTACAACTTGTCTGAAAGGGCGAACAAAAGACGCAATGGTGTGACAGAACGTGTCGCTGCTTTAAATCACCGTTCTCAGTCATGAATGATAACAAACATAATAACTCTGATAGGTGTTGATTGTTTCAAATAGCAGACCAACCGAATGTCATGCCCAGTTTTGTTTTATTCATTTTCATACTATAGCTTTTCACTATAGCAGTGGTGGTATATATAGTAAACTTAATCAGAAGTCGCTTGCGATTCCCAAGAGCAAAAAATGTTTTATCAGTCCGGAGTACTTTTGAAAATCTAGCGTAATTATCCATACAACAACACACTGCAAATAATAGATCGACTTACTGCAAATAACAGATAAAATAGATATAGGATATATGTTGATCATCGGCTACTGCAACTATAACTAGTTAACAAATAAACTATAACAAGACAAAGATGGGAATTGGGAATAGAAAGTCAGTTCTATATTCAGTAATGTAGCTGAAGCAGGGCAAATACGCTTCAAAGAGCATGTAATTCATTTTGCCAATCATCTATCATGGTATTAGACGCCTTGTGGAAGTGAAAGGACTCTGAACTTAACCGTTTCTCATAATGATCTTCTAGGATAAATCAATAGCATTGTGGGATTTAGAACCGATTTTTTCTATCTTGTTTAGTTCATCTTTCTAGATCGATGCTTGTTATCTAAACTGTTGGCAATACTATATCGTTTGATTTATAAATCACGAATGGTCGATTGTTGATAGATACTTGGGTAATAATAAAATGACTTTAGTCTGTTGCGGTGTTACCGTCTCTTTAATTATTGTATTCAGAAAAGAATTAGGTGATGAATGGTTGCGGAATGCGGTTCTAACTCAATTTAAAACAGAGCGTTTGTTTGAAAACTTACTATTTTATTGTTCATTTTTAAGGAATCTCGCAACCATAAATGTAGCGTAAATAAAAAGAACTGAATGCTCTTATTTTGATGGAAAATTTTCACAATAAAGGTCAATTAAAATATGCACTAGACACATAAAGTCAGGTTTAACCGTCGCTAACACGTCTGTATATTAGAAACAAGTATATTTTTCAAATCTCTTTTACAAATTTGTAAGAAGACAAAATAGGTGTTTCACCATCTGTTGGAATTGACTTTGGTGGCCGTCTGTCTGGTCGTATCACTCCCTCCTGTCTATACCAAACTAATTTATTACTTGTTAATATTTTTTTGTTATTACGATTTTATTATTTATTTTGGTTGATGAAAAAATAAAATATCCCTGTCTCAAAAGAATATACGTAGCCTACGTATAACAACTGCATTGCAATCAGACTAATAAAACAAAAGCATAACACAACTCTGAGACACCAAACAACTATTTACTTACTACTCTTAGCTTGAGAGATTATACATTGAAATGACGGTACTCCTGAAGTATGCGCACCAAGATGTCGCACAACCTGAACCCTAACCTGGTACACAACCTGAGTTCAGTTTGTGCGCCCTCTTGGTGCGCATATATACTTCAGGAGGTCCGAAATGACTAATTTATAGTTTTACGTTCCAAATATTTTACAAATATGATTGTGATTTTCCGAACAAAATTGTCATAAAATATTGACAACGATCAGGCAAATACGTGATAATTTATCCCCATCCAAAATTTACTTTGGGAAAATTGATTTTGAGCATCCGGAGTCGAGTAAACGCGTTCTGGTTCAGTTGCTGCCATATCATTGGATTTATTATTGTTGACTGCGAACTTAAAGCCTGTGTTGATGGCTTCGTAGAAAGGCTGTAGGTGGCCCTTGTGGGACTAGTTGTGGTTTGAGCTTGTAACCAAGCAGGTCGAGTTGAAGTAGAAGTTGTCGGTCTCTGCGTGTTTCCGTTGGGATTACTTGTTGTGGGGTTCCACCACGTAGGTCGACTGGTTGCTATTGACGTCTTAGTCGACGTGGTTGCTTCTGATTTGTAATTGCAATAACCGCAACTTACAGGACAATGGTCGCTCATGAACCTGAAAACGTCGTCGTTTTCATTTTATATTTGTTTTTCATATCAATGTACGTAGGGGAAATCAAAATGATCAAATAATTTCATTTGAAAGGTTGACAAACAAGTCTTACACCTCTGCATTGCCTATATATCAGAAAATTCTTACTCTAAATAGTCACCATGGAATTAAGCCTTTTCTTCTTTTGGGGGCGATAAATTTATATGCAATTTATTCATATCATAATGTCCAGCGTACATATATTTTTATGCGACTTTGTCGGAAAGGAAAACTATTACTGATAGTTTAAGCACATACTGATTGCATGCAAATCTAATTCCTAGGAATCGATTAAATACTCACGTCGACATGGTATTACTTGGAGAACAAGCTGATTTTTTCATAATAAATGTATTGCAAACGTTCACATTGTCTTTGCACATATGAGCTGAGAAGAAGAAAATGATAATTATGGGTTTTTACAGTCTTGTAAAAAAAACTAATCGGTATTCTCAACAAAATAATTACAAAAAGCTTGTTGTTTCCAATACAAATTACAAATCTTTCTAAAATAGGCAAAGATGGAATTAGCCCTGATTAATACCACATAATTTCCTTTTAACGTACGTTCGCAGTAGCTTGTGTTACATTTTTTGTATTCCATCTCAATTCTAGGTGCCTGTACAATTCTTTCACGTGACTGAATATTCACGATTTGACGACAACACGTCCATTTGCTCCATACTGAATTCACTTTTATAACGGCACTATCCAGTCCAAGAACCCAGGATAAAATGATTGCAATGAAGAACTCTTGAAACTTCATTGCCTTCTCTTAGAGTTATATTAACCTAAAATAAAATCGCTCATTCGATGAACGCATTTATTTATTAAACCTGTTCCAGTTCAAATGTCGCGAGTCTTTCATTGACTGTTAATTGCAATATTCTTGACAATAACTGCATACATAATATAAATATATAATACTAGTAAAAATACTATTTCAATTTTCTCTTGTATTTATGATAACATAGTTATATAATTTATCTGACATGTAAATCAACAGATTTCTGCAGGTTATCGTTGACGAAAAATTCTAAAATATTACGATTGTCACATATTTGTAGGCAAGGCACATCGGATTAAATCAGTTTTGAGGTGTTAAATAAACAGCCTCAAATTTTCGTTCTTGTCGATGCACTACAATCTACCGTTCGAAAATACCACGCTCTCACGTTAACTGATTGTTGCTGCCGTACTGGTGCCCATGCAACAATAATAGTGCCGGTATATATACGGTATATGTATGTTGTACATGATAATTAGACGGTTACGAGTGTTTGTTTGAATCAGAAATATTGATTAAGGCTTATTGTTAAAGGAAATTATGGAAGCAGTCTAGCAGCAAGTAGTCGCTAAAAATGTTAACTTTCTCAACATGTCGTAATACGGTTCGTACCAGCCATATTTGGAACATCAAATTTGAAAAAGAAATAAAACTTTGTGCATAGATATTTTTAGCGAAATACTGTTTTCGATTACATAATCAATTAACCTGACTATTTCTTTATCTCATTTTTAAATAATGACATGGCACAAATATAACAAAAAAATATTGATAAATGGTACTACCATGTATTAAAACGTGACTGACCATCCATATATATTATATAATAGTCCGAATTTGACTACGATTCGAAACAAAAGTTGAAATGAAATATGGTACGTATGTAAGAATCGCATAACACCCTATTTTCTTTCCGTGTCAATTAGTTATTACCAATTAGTTACAGTATTTATCATAATATACTTTATTACCAGGAGGTAAGCCATTTTCCAGTTAACTCCCTAGTCCCTTTCCATGCACAATTTAAAAATGAAAAAAAAAAATATTCAAAATGTCGACAGCCTGAAACAGAGATTTAAAGAATTTAAATTAGATTTTGAATTGCCAAATTGATATTAATGGTATTTAGCCAAGGTGACACTGATAATGTTAATTATTTGTGAAACTATCAATACTAGTTGTGCTATCAAATGTTATATTAACACAATTAACAAATCATGAATAAGATATTTTTGATCAAGACCAAATCTGGTGTATTCCCCCTCAGTACGTGGGAAACCTGGTATTGCATGTTCTCCACCTTTGTGTTGTACTCTGGTTTGCAACTTGACACCAAAACTCTGGGTGAGTCTCGCAGATGTTCATTGGTGAGGCGTGTTCAGTGTTTGTTCTTGATGAAGTTCATATAATAAAAGGCTGATTCACAAAGATAGGTTGTACCAAACAAGCTTGCGACCGTCGAAGCTGCTGTTCATACACCACGCCACTTTATGTGTCAACTAGAGCCCTGATTGGCTTTGAGATGGAGATCATTTAGCAGTGTTACAATTTTAAGCTCTATCTGTCCTGCATTAAGGCTGAACGTTGCTCGACAATGCTTGACATGTCCAAGTTCCATTAAAACGGTTAGAAATGAACGACACCCATATCTCCAGCTGACCTAGTTTGTGTGATGTCATGATTGGAATGACACGTGACATTACCGAGGTCACATATAGAAAAGGCTGACCTTTATAATAATTGATATATTATACCATTTGACACTGCTTAAAGCTTATGACACTGTATGCCACCATGGACTAATAGGAAAAATAGCAGACATGGGAATAAATGGAAAAATGTTCAACTTTTTTTATAATATTTTAGAGAACCGATCATTCTGTGTTAGAGTTGAAGACAAGTTATCTGATACATATCATCCGATACGAGGACTTAGTCATTTCTATCTCATTTTTGTAGGTGATCTTCCATCAACTTTACGAGATACAGATTGTGGACAGTTTGCTGATGATTTTGGTATATACAAAACAGGAAGAAATATTGAATTTCTGGAACGTAGCGTTCAATCAAATCTGAAAAAAAAAGAAGAATGGTGTATCACATGGGGTATGAAAATATCTCCCAGTAAATGTTCAGCTGTGTTATTTAGCAACAAAAGAAGAAATCCAGAAATTAACTTACAAATTGGAGGAGTAAATATACCAATACTTGACAAAGTAAAATATTTGGGCATAATATTTGATAAGAAAATGACATGGAAAGAACATATAGAAAATATCGTAACAAAAGCAACGCAGAGATTAAATATTTTGAAATATGTTAGTGGTTCCAAATGGGGATCACAATTACACACAATGCTACTATTATACCGCTCCTTAATTTGCTCGTTGTTTGATTATGGAACCCAAATCTATAGCACAGCATCAAAAACATTGCTAACAAAATTGGAAACAATACAAAATCAAGCCCTTCGCATTTGCATTGGAGCTATGAGAAGCACACCAATGGATGCAGTATTGAATGCATGCTCAGAAACACCACTGGCATTAAGAAGAAAACAATTATGCGTGAATTACCGATTAAAATTACAAAACTCGGTTCAACTTACCTCCGCAAAACCACTCGAAGAATCCTGGCAACATGAATATGTGGGAGATAAATTTGTATCATTCAAAACTATAACAGAGCTTGAAGAAAATGACTTGTCAAAACCTGAAAATAAAGACCAAATAAAACATTATATACAAGAAAGATGGAATATACAATATAAACAAAACATATCAGGACTATACTATAAAAGAATATTTCCGGAAATATTACCAAATTACTTGAAAAAAATAAAAGAATCAAGAATACAAACAAGAAATATTTTTAGACTTCAAACTGGACATGGTATGCTAAATAAACATCTTTCAAAATTCAATAAAAATGTAGATGAAATATGCGACCAATGCAACAGGAAAATAAAATTAATAGATGTAGCTTACTGATAAGCGCCATTATTTGAGTTATTTTAAAACAGATCTGCGGGCGACTTGGTGCCCGCGGGCAAGATCACAAAATTCAGTTTCATTCGAAATCATATTTGTTTTTGTGCAGGTGCGCCCTGATAATTTGGCGCCGCACGAACAAAAAGTTCGGAAACCCCTGGTTTATACAATACATTCAATCATTTATCGTAAGAATTTCAATCCGGCGCTGTATATCGGGAAGCACTTAGTAACGGTGCATATTATGTGATTTACATAACGATGATTGGTTAGCTGGTGGATTGTTGAACATTTGAGATGCAAGTATTATCCCGAGTTGTATTTGGGTACCTAGCCACAATTGGCCCAAAATGTATGAGCACCACTTCGTACTCATATATATATAAATCTTTGTTTCTCAGAACGTTACTCCAATTGACAATATAGACTACCAGCAGTTTGAACATCATTCAAATCGCGGTAATTCATTTAACTTTTTTACTAAATAAAAAAAAGAGCAAAGTGGCATTAACACACAGACTTTTTTACATACCTTTTGCTGCTTTATTTGAGCTATTTTTTTCAAGAATTGGATAAAAGAACTCTTACCTTATAGCCAAAAATACACATTTCCGATGAGAAATAAACCTAACATGACTTTGCTAAACACGCCTTTCTGCTGTTGTAATTGTGTTCATTTTCCACTTCAAAAAAGATTGTCATTTTAAAATCGTGAAACTTACCAAAAATACTTTCTGTATGAGCGAAGCGATTCATACCTATCATCGAAATCTCAAGTTTTCGAAGAACAATTTTGTTTTATGTATATTTCGAACTATCATGCTCTCCCTCGGGAACAACAGAGAAATGATCAATTACATGGACACGAAAGTCCAATGACTAGCAGCAGTGCCTCTACGTCTACACTAAAACCGTTGCCTGATCATTTGGAAGCTTCAAATCGAAATCGCGAATCAAGTCACACCGTCTTATCAATCTACATCCGCACCGGCAGATGAGCTTTGTCAAAGTGATGTCTGGCAGTATTGTCAATGCAACAAAACGATTTACGTTGAATTTCGTGTTCAAAATATTGGCGTCGCTACTTGAAGACCGCTCGAGGTCCCTCGCGGCTCCTGCCCAACAATTGAAGTTTGCCTTTTGCTTTATATTAGCCATATTTCCTGGGATGTATTTATATTGTGTGGAAAAATAAATGTTGATTGATCGAAACAGGCGTATGCAACCATTTTAGCAGGTGAGACAGATATCATAAACTGGGTAAAACCGCGGGCCGCACCCTCATTTAACATGGGCTTTCCTATAGTTGCAGACTGGAAACGGTTATTCAAATTTATTTTAACACCGAATTCAGGGAAATATTTGCTGCTGTATTCTTTTCCCGACTACTTTCATCCAAAGTTTCCCTAATGGAAGTACTAGCAAATCGATATCTATTTCCAAGTCTTCGTCTTTCAGGCGGTTTTATGCCGCCCACTTTCCTCAAATTGCTCGCTGCTCAGCAAGTGACAGCTTTGTGAACCACGTTGTTCGCTTCGCTGTTATGGCATTGTAACGTCATAGGCATAGATAATAAATTGGACTCGGATATAAGCTTTGCAAAGCTTCTTACGCACAATGCGTCTCGCCCAATAAATTCGAAAACAATGATCATATATATGATCATACATGAGCTAAATAGTGTCCAAATATGTTCCTAAGTTGTGCACTGTTCTTGGTTCACAACGTCGCAAAAAAATATTAAAAAAAGCGAATTTCATTCGAAGTTGATGAAAAACAATGTTTAATTTAAACGGCATTTGCAAATAATAGTACGGGTACCGGTAAGTGTTTATTCCAACGCAAATCTTGCTTAGTCGCTCGGCAATATGCGGGTTTAATTTTGTTGTTTCTGATTGGTATAGCTATTGATTGGTATATCTATTTGATTCAGAAAATAACTTTTTTGAGAGTGTTTCATATTATTTCAGCAATTCACATCAGTATACTGTAGTTTGAAAGACTTTGTCTTATGTCACATGTTTCTTACACTCACCTATGTTGGGTATGAAGTTATTCAAACACTGGTGCAGTATTGTTTTGGTTCTCTGAATTTAGTTTAAACGATATTCAAAATGTTTTTTTAGCATTCTAGAATAGTTTAGTATTCGGATACGGACATCCCTAGTCCTATCCGCCTAGTCGTTCCACCTCGACTCACTGCCCTATCCCCCCGGCCTTCCTAAATCTGACCTACTGCCTCGTCCTTCCTACCGCCGCCTCTTTGCCCTATCCACCACCCCAGCCCTCATCTACCAGTCTACCCACAGTGCCCTCACTGACAGGAATGATCTGCCCCAATCTTCGTACACTCGACCAATGACATTATACAACATGATGCGCAACTCCGCATTTTAGGCCGAAGATCGTATCCGATAACACGCTCCAATGCACATACTTGACGAGACGAAAACGAGCGGATGTGTGCTGCTTTCAAGGCATAGCACGAATAGTGTTCGTGCCTGCTTTGACCGTTGTTGTCGATTTTAATGATATTTTGGAAAGTTGAGTTTAAAAAAAATCGGAAAAAAGTGAGGCAAATAATATTGTGGTATATAACACCCGGGTATCGCACTGTTAAGTACATGTGGGAAAGCCAGCTTTTTCAAATACTACGAAGTTATTAATTCAGTACGGTACGTAGTTGCCCATTTGCCGAAATTGCATATTTACTTACCACTTATGGTTTCAAATAGTTCATGCTCCTCCATTTAGATTTTCTAACCAATGAGGATATACAGTATACTCATTGCTGTAACATACTATTGCTCATTCACTTTTATTTGCGTATTGAATCAAAGGGTTAACAAGTTCACCTAACATTTCACTCATACCGGCCTATATTGTATAGTCTGATCTCTCAAGTATATGGAGCCACGAATTTTCGGACTAAACTCCTTTATTAGTTGGTTTATATACCAAATTCAGTAAAACATTTTACATGAGATATTGGATTTATTAGCTTTTCCATTCTAAATCATATAGACTGCTTTATTTATTCTTGACGAAAATTAATAAATCTCCTCTCTTTCTTCAGATGTGAATGTTGTGGACAAACCTGTCCAAGCATTGTGAGATTCCTGCAGCACAAGAGGCAATAGCAAAAATAGTAAGTATATCAATCAAGAAATTAAGCCGACATAAAGCAAAACTTCCAACTATTCGTCTAACCTCAATTTCCCATTATTTATTCACAGGACAACTGTAGCAGAAGGGGAGATATCAGAAGTCTGGCGAAATATCAATGACAGTGTGATTCCAAGAAATATAGTTATTAGAGTACTCCATAAATGTTTGCAATAGAAGAACAACCTAGGGAGGCATGCAAAGACATTTGACCCTCCGGTAGAGGTAGAGTTGTGTATGGCCCCCACATCATACAGGACTTGAGGAAAATAACTAAAAATTCCAAAGCATAAGATTGCCTGAGCGGTCTTATTTGTAAAAAGGCACAAAACACGCCAGACATACTTAAAAACAGCTTTGGAAAAATAGATTACGGGCCACTCACTACACCTGTGTTAGAATTGGTTCATCAACTTTTGGTAGTACTATAGACGAAATTCAGGGAAGGGTATAATCATGATTCATGATAAAATACTGTTCAATATTTTGGACAACTTCAATCTAGACCAGGGATGTCAAACTCGCGGCCCTAGAGAACTTCCAGTGCGGCCCTCGAACGCTAAACA